AAAGCAGTAATAACAGGTATTAAGAGGAGAAGATACAAGAGGTATTCAAGGATATAAGAAGTTGAGATTCAAACCTCCTCTACCACTCTCTACCCCGTCTCTGGGTGATAAGGAAATATCAAGGATGACTGAGATTTCAAGCTAATATGCCTGAGTATCCTTAATTTAAGCTGGGAACACAGAGGAGGAATAGGTTAGGAGGGAAGGGTAAAGACCATGAATCAAGTTCAGACTCACTGAGTGTGGAAGTCCACCAGGAAGCTAAAAAGAATTGGAGCCCTAGAGAGTACAGTATTATAAACTATAGAAGTGGATATAATCACCTAACAAGGATGTGCAACAATGGTAAATGGTGGTAGGGTTGGTGGTAAAAAGAGATGAGTACAGTGTAGCAATTGAGAGAAAGATCTGGAGTCAGGTTAGCCATTTAAACCAATCACTTACTTTTCTAAGCCTCAGTTTCACCTGTAAAATAAAGCTTATAATAGCATTAACTTTAGATAGTATATTAAATGACATAATACACATAAAGCCATTAGACCAGTCCCCAGCACATGGTAAGAGCTCAGTGAATATCCTGATGCTTACTGTACTGCACCATTACAATGTTGCTATTAAATTAGATTCTTAGAAAAAATAAGGCTATTGACATGTATTAGAGTTATTCCCTTTACACCCATATTATTTTAAATGTTATCTTAAAGGAAGAATAGTTTCAATGCCTAGACATCTATTTTAGCTCCTTCCTTTAGCATAGTGGCTCTTAAGTTTAAGTTTGCTTAATAATAACAGCATGGCGCTTAAGGACAAAATCATGTATTTTAATTATATGAACACTTTAAGGGGCTTTTCTACAGTAATTTTGAAAATAAACACCTTTTACCCTAAGAGGTGACTTTAGAACTGAATTACCCACTTACCTACCTCCCTTTGAATCCCCTCATACATACATATGTATATTATTAAACTTAATAGACTAAAACCAGATCTAGGAAAAGTTATCTTCCCAACATCACATATATGATAAGTGGAGAAACAGGATTTGAACTCCTGTCCGCCTGACTCCAAAGCCTGGTCTCTTTAGTGTTCTCCATGCTGCATCTGTAGGAATGGCCTGAAGACCAACATGGATTTGGGGTCACCCAATTGGAGAAACACCAACATTCAAGACGATGATAGGTAAGAGTAGAGTATGGTGTGTAGAAGCCAATAAAGATTAAAGTAACATGTGATCTTCAATTACTGAAAATGGGCAAGTCTGAATTCACTAATGACCTTTGCAAAGGAGGATGAACATAAAATATGAATCAGACAATAAATCTCAGGATAAATATATAATTGCATCATATTGACTAAAGCACTACTTTTTTTTTTTCCTTTTTAGTTGGAGAACTGTGTCATAATCAGATCAATGTATGGCTTTAACCAACATGTGGTTTTTCTTTCTTTTACTCTTTCTCCATAAATTGAGTCAGCACTCCACTTGTCATGTTTGGTATCACCCTGAAAAAAAATCTCTTAACAGGGAAAAAATACTGCTTTTTATCTGTGGATTTGTTTTACAGCATTAGTATTATTTTTTAAAAGATGCTGCCACTGGAACTTTCAAATCTCAAGCTTAATTAGAAGTAAGCAACACTTTAAAAGCTTACAAGTTTTGTATTTTTTTTCATAGACTAGCTTATATAAGAACATACGGATGAGATCAAAATCATGGGTTAAATAGCTAAACAGGACTATTAGCTTTAGATAGTACCTCATTTTCATCTAGCAAGCTGGAAAATGTAGGCTCCAGTCAGATAGGGGGCAGGCAGAAGGGGAATGGATTACTGAAATCCAAATTCCATTCCTGGTAACTCAAAGGATATACATATGGATCAGAAATATCAAAATGAAAACATACCGTGGATTCCAAAGTCAAGTCTTAGCTTCTAAATATGCTCAGGCCAGGATCTGGATGTTTTTAAATCATCCTCCTATATCATACTAAAGTCTCCTTAGTCTAATAATTGATCTTTGCTAGGAGCCCCAAAAGAGCCTTTTTGGGGGTCAGCATGGTTATCCTCCATAATATGTGCCTACAACTTCTAACCCACCATGAGCTCTTCATCATAATTCTTTTTTCCCCTCCATTAATTCAACTAAACTTACCAGCTTATCCTAATTGTACAAAACCCCATTTTTAAAGTTTGAAACTGAAGGCTTCAAAGTATTCTAGAATTCCAAGTATTTTAAACAAGTTGAGACAGTAAAATCCAATGTATGATTTACAGTACAAGCAGAAGCTTGTACTGGCGTTTTCTGTTAGTTTTTTCATTTTGGGGGGTCAGCATACTTCAGCGTTCATACTTCACATGGGCTGTACCCTGGCTTTACTGCTACCTGGCTGTGTGACTTGAAATATATCTCCTAACTCACTGGAGGCTTGATTTTCTCATAAAAACATGTTTAATGTCTGTCCTGGGTTGCAAGGTTCAAATGAAAAGGGGATGTAAAGGTGCTTAGAAATATAGTGTGACATTTATTATTCCAGGTCTAATTTTCAAATCACTGTAATAAAGGACTTGCAGATTTCCTGTTAAGTGCCTTCTGTTACTTAAAAATCCTCTGAATCCTCATCAACACTGGGATACCTACAAAATAGCATGATCTATTTAAAGATGTTTTCCTTGAAAAACCTGTTTTACTTATTTACTTTTAAAGAGCATATGCTACCAAATTGTGTTCTTATATTTTTAAAAATATGATAAAAAACGTATTTCCAAATGTAATTCAAAGCTGACAAAATACGAACAAATTTTTAAGCTGGTGGAAATGAGTAAAAATCATTTAAATTGTTATCAAGGAAATAGGCCCTGGTGTACATAACAGTTTATCTTGAATTTTTGATGGAGGTGACAAGCGACTTGTTCCCTAACTTAAAGAAGTAAATGTGCCTGAAATAAGTCAAAGAGAAAGCATTTCTAAAGCATTTTGAGATTTTCAGCTGAAGTACCAATTATGTTTTTGGGTAAGAAGCACAGAGGTTGTAAACTCGTAGTCCTTGGTCCTTCCCAGTAAAATGTTTTGCTGGCTTACTAAATGTTTAAGAAGTATTTGAACCAACGTTGAAAGATCAGGAGACTTCACATGAAGTCCAAATTTTAGCTCCTCTCGACAAATCTGGTAACACCAGGCCCATATTCCCACATAGCAAAATTTGGCTAGGGCTGGGAAGTGATGCCTCATTTAGGTGAGCATGGGAGTTCTCCAATCCCCACTACTGCCTGTTGTTTCCTTTCACCTTACTTGGCCAGCAACTACAAGCCCGTGGACCTTGCAACTTCAGTAAAATGCAGCGCCACTCAGTATATTATATACCAGATTATCCTATTTAATCATTAATGGGAATTAAGAAGTAAAAATACAATCTCTGGGAACTGAGGGATGTCCCAGAAGTAACCCTGTTTATGTAAAAGACAGTAAAGGATATTTTTCTTTTGTGACTATGTATTGAGTTGATTCTTTTTAAGTAAATGCAATATGCCTAGTGCAGATTGGGGATGGAGGTAGCAGGAATGGTAGGAACAAAAACAAAAAAATTTATCTTTTGTCTTATTTAAGACTTCTGTGGTTGACTGATAGATAAAATTCTCAAATGCCCACTAGATTTCTGAATGCAAACTAACATGAGAAAAAGGTGAAAGAGGGAGCCCAAAAAAGAAAGTATTTGTCAGCAGACATAAAGTAGTACCACTCACTCTCACTCAGGCAGTTGCCCGCCAGCTTGTGCTTCCTTTGGGTTGATAATGTTTGGCTGGAGAGGCCAAATAACATCGTATGTCGTGTAGTTGGAAACAGTAGTAGATTCTACTGTGTTTTGCTGCTATGTGGTATCTGCTGGTAGAAAAATGTTTTAACATGTTCAACTTGGCTTATTAATCCAGACTCATGCGAATAAAATGCGCAGTGTCTAGCTTTTAAAACGTGCCTCGGCCTAAGAACAGGACTGCTCTTCCTGGGTGAACTTGGATGATGCCTTTGGTTATTATACTCTAGTAGCAGACACTACTGTTACATTAGTAGAAAATGACACAGCCTACTCATGCAAAATGACTTCTTCTAATAATATTTGCTTTTTCAAAATTCATTACTAGAAATTGGTCCTAAAAACGTTAGCTATTAACCTTCAAAAAAGGTTCAACCTTTTTTTAAAAAAAAAGATATCTGAAGAACTTTTTATATTCTCAGCATCAAAGATGTATAACTACTTCAACAGTATGCAAGGAAAGGGAAATAAAGAATTGTTTGACACTTTACTCAGTGTTTCTCAAAGTCTGGTCTTCAAATCACTTGCATCAAAATCCCCTGGACAATTACTAAAAATACAAATATTTCTGGAGCCTTCCCGAGACTCACTGAACCAGAATCTCTAATTTTTAATTAAGTTCCCCATATTGAACTTGGAGAATCAGTCTTACATTCACTCACTCATTCAACAAATAAATATTTAATGCCTATAATGTCCTCAGATTGGACTGCTTAAGAAGTTATTAATAATAATTACCATACACTGAGTATATATCATGTGCTTGACACCATGCTAAAGCAGTTTATATATATTTGACTCATTCTGTTCAACAATCCTAAGAGGTTTTATGGCTCCATTTAACAGACGATAAACAGAATGAGTAAACTGTCCAAAGTCACTAGCTAATGAACGTCCCTGTTCCTGAAACCTAAAATCTGTAGTCTTAATTGGCATATTATTTTGCCTTGCTTGAATCTGGAATCAACTTAAAATTGTTTCATAGTCCCACATGAGCAAACTTCCTTCTACACAAAATAAGTGACTGATGGTGTGCATCACTTAACTTTCACTATGAAAGCTAAAAACATTCTACATTAATCTAAGAGTTTCTGCCCTCCCAGAGCATTTTCTTCTGCTCCCTTTAGTGCATTTCTTCCTTCTGCTTATCATTCATGATCAAATGTAAGTCTAGGATAAGAGGAGTACATATGCTTTGCAGTCTTGGGAGTTCTCCTTTTGTGATTATGAAGTAAGTTCTCCAAACACTTCTTTATCCTTTAGACAGAGAATGTTCCTAATGTAGTAAGTGTTAAGTACAATCTTGATTTTGCAACTTTTAATAGGCTCTGATGAATGCTACCAAAAAGCTATCACAAAAACATCAGGACCAATTAGGACTTGCAAGAGAATTTCAGGGAGAAAAATAACATTGCCTAAACTGGAATGTGGCCAGATGGCCATCTGTTGCCTTAGTATCTGCTTTGATAACATCAAGATTCATCTGTATTTGAACTGCAGGGCCCACACATCTTTCATTAACCGTCCTCAGGGTGCCAGGAATTGAAACTCATGAAACTATGCTGACATCACTACCCTTTGCTGTAGATTACATTGCATCAGCTCCAAGTGTAGGCAAAGTAGCAGCAACACTTTATTAAAGGTAGACAGTCTACGTTGCCAGTGCAGGGAACTAACATACTCTACAAAGACAGGAGGATTAAACGCTAAATTCTTTTTTGTAGGACATCATAGAAGGGTGGTGTGCTGAAAAGTGGGATGGATTTAACTAGCAACTCATGGCACAGGTAAACGTAGTTGCATTTGAAAAGACTTAATGATTGGAAAAATATGAATACTGTGAAGTATTCTTGCAAAAAATGTTAAATTGAATCTAAGAACACCTCCAGACCAACTTCTGATTTATAAGAAATAAGACAAAGGAAACATTCAGAAAGACCCCTGGCTTGAACTCTTCAAAACGCCACTGTCACAAGGGAAAAAAGACAGGGTAACTGTTCTAGATTAAGGCTGAAGATTTATAATACCCAAATACAGAACATAAACCATAACTAGATCCTTATTATTATTATTATTTTGAAAGGAGAAGGTATAGAGACATTCTTGGATCAAATGAGAAAATGTACATATAAACTAGATTTTAAAGATTACAGAGTTATTAATTTCCTTAGTTGTGATGATAGGTTTTGCAGGAGACCTTTATACTTCTTAGGAAATACATATTGGAAATATATTCTTAGGAAATACAATTTTAGGGATGTCTGCTTAACAACAGGTGTCTGCAACCTATTTCCAAATGGTTCAGTGACAAAAAGTGTGTGAAAAGGGATGAAATAAATATGGCATAATGTTAACAACAGTTGGATCCAGATGAAAGGTATATGAAAGTTTATTGTATTCTTTAAACTTTTTAATGCAAGAATATTTCTTTAAGACAAAATTAGGGGAAGAAATGTTGAAAAGACTTCAGAGAAGTCTAAGATAAGGCTGAGTAACAGACTATACTGCATTTCTGATAATTTCTGATAAACTGAAGTTTCATAAAATTTTGCTGGCAGTATCCTGGGCATCCAGGAGACACTCAATATATTCAGTATTTACCAAAACAGTATCACGTGCAGGGTACAATGATAAGGCAGATAAATATAATACAAATCATTCTATTTAGAAATAAATATGATAGTGAAACTAAGCACATAAACAGCTGTTACATGAAACAGTCATTGTCATAAAAGAGGTACAAAAGATGCTAGGTAAGCTCAGAGGAAATTACTTCCTGCTGGGGAGAACCCAGAAACACATCTTCAAGGATATGAACACAGAATCACATCTTCAAGGATATGAGCACAGAATCACAAAAGACTGGTGCTTTAGTGATTAACCTTGTTAGAAACAAGAATAGTTCATTTTGGTTGGACATAAGTTCTAAGAAAGAAAGAAATTAAGCAAAAAGGTAGCTTTGTACCCTTGTTGTTGACTGGCTGGATATAAACAATTTGCAATTTACCTGAAGTTTTCCTGATCTTTCTCCCCGCAGCTTTAGGGATCCAACCTGTTATTACCAAGATGGGTGACAGGTGTTGACTCAAACCTACAGAAGAAACTACATGAGATAATGTGTGACAACTCTTGTAAAAAGCCATATAAAAGTAATGTGATACTTTTACAAATATTCACAAACATTGAGTTGTTTCATAAACCGTAGACATGCAGAACTAGGGCAGTATACCTTTGTCCAGAACTGCAGTCAATCCTTGCAAACCCCCAAGAGAGGAGAAACAAAAGGGAGAAGATTCAGAATTTGAAGACAGGAGTGAGAAAGTAAGATTTAGAGGTGTTGCCGCGGCCGCAGAGGACCATCTTTTTCCTCCATAGCTGAGAATGGAAAATGATTTTCCTCAAGCTCCCGAATTCTCCGTCCTCAAAGGTCAGGAGGTGAAAGTACGTAATACAACTTGCGAGGGCGTGGTCAGGAGCTCCACGCTGTGGGAGTTACGGGCTCCGCCCGGCGGCCCGCGCCCAGGCTCCTCCCGTCCCAGCTGCAGCCAGCCGGGGCGAGAGGAGCCGGTCGGGCGGCCTCGCCCCATAGGGAGCCTCAGAGGGGCGGAGGGAGGGAGGGGGCGGGTCGTCACCTCGCGAGCCCGGAAAGAAAACCTTCTTCTAGCGGAAGCGGCTTTGAGACTCGCTCGCCTGCTGGGCGCTCCGTCTCCCAGGGGCCGTCAGGCCCCGGCCTGTTCGTGATCAAGGGACACTCACCTCGCTTCGCGACTCCAGTCGGAATGGGTACTCCCTGGGACAAAGGGGACGCAAGCTACTCCCATCCTTCCGCTATGACCCCATTCGGAAGTGTCAAATGCAACTTCCGGGCAGGACAGGGATTTTCGGAGCTCTAAACTCTTGTCCACCTAGGTAAGTGACCAGACGTCCCAGCAAAATAAGGGCCAGGAAACCTGCTCCCTCTACCCTCCAACCCAGGCAGGTACTCCGGAATATGAATTAAACTTGTTTGGCATGGGATGTCTGGTCACCTTTGTACCTTTCTTGGGCCTACTTACAGATGTATCCCTTCCCAGACGGCGCAACTGTGAGATTGGGTGAAAGGAAAACTACGTCACACGAGACAGGAAGCCAGGAAACTCCCGTTGCCATTACCAGTTATGGCTGCCTTAGCGTCAACAATAACTTCCTATTGAGAGTTGTCACTCTACCCTCCTGGAGGCTCACTCTGTGGCCCAGCTAGCCAGCGGCGCCCAGTGGGCGGGAGAGAGGACGTAGAGGAACCCAGGAAAGGAAAAGGGCGGAGAGAGGGAAGCTGGCGCCTGTGCCTCGCTCTGATTGGGTAGCGCCGCTGGCGGTGGCGCCTCACTCTGATTGGGCAGCGTCGGTTGCCCTGGCTCCGCCCGTTTTTCTTCCCCAGCGATTGACGGGCCTGCGCCGGAGGGGTGGGGCGGGGCGGTAGGAGAGAGAGTGTGTGGAGAGGCGGGCGGGGCGGGGCGGGGCGAGCGGGGGAGGGGGGCCCGGGGGGGCGGCGGTTGGGCAGCGTCGCTTCCAAGGAGGAGGAGGAAGGAGGGCGAGAGAGGAGGATGGCGGAGTCGGGGCTCCTGACGGTAACCAGGGGCCGCTGAGGCGGGAGGGTGCCTGTTGGCCGGTTCCTCTTGTCTTCCTTCCTGCCCGTCGGGCGGTCGGGCTGGCTGTCGATAGGGGGAGGGCCC